TCCTCTTTTGGAAGGCCAAACAAAGTAGTTTCACTTTCACAAAGAAACACACAGCGTCTCCACGACATGGCGGCGGCGACAACAATAATACAGCGAGAATAAAAGTTACACCTTCTTTCTTTGCTTGAACATTTGGGCGGCGTTATGCTAATATTCCCACATCGTGATGTAGACATGTGGGGGCGTGTTTAAATGAGGCGTTTTAGGTAGGCATGGTTGAGTCTTAGCTTTTATAAAGAATATCTCTTTGGATTTGAGACTTTAGTCTTTGCAACTTTACAGATCTTCTTTATGCACCAAGAGCTTGTAACGCTCCAAAGAGAAAGGAAAAATTGAAATCGCATCATATGACCCCTTTAGTGTCATCCACCTTCATTTTGTAGCTCTTTTTTCTTAAAGTATCGGTTCAGGCACCGGTACCGTTTTAAAAGCATCGATTTGGCACTGGTATCGTAAAAAATCCAAACGATACCCAACCCTAACTGCACATGTCATGTTGGCATTCAATATACAGTACCAGTCAAATGTCTAGACACACCTAACTGCATATATAATTTTCATGACCTTAAAGCATGAACTTTTGAGTACTTTTGAAAGTTTCTTCACAAAACAAACAAAAATGTTGTTTGTTTTTTTTAGTTGGAATGAAGTGAAGAAAAGAAGCCAAGATGTGTTCAGTATATCAGAATTCCTACATTGCAGTCCAAGAAGAAGAGCATACCAGACTACCTCACTACATCAAAGTTGGTTGAGAGAATGCCAAGAGTGTGCAAAACTGTTATCAATGTAAAGAAGTGTTATACTGAAACAGCTGAAGACAGTTTTGTTTACGTCTTTCCATTGCATAATTTTTATACTTCCATTTGCTGACCTAAAATGTGAAAAAAGTAGTGTCCAAATGTTTGACTGTTACTGTAAGGAAAATTATATTATGATGAGTTTGGAAGATGCCAAATAAATAAAAACAGATATAATAACCAAAAAAAAAAAAAAACTTTAAATAGCAATGAGAAGGATAGTGTTACAGTTCTGACCCTTAATTAACTTTCTCCACTATCCTTTTTTTGCCAGTAAACTGCATTTTTTGTTTTTATGTCTTTGGACCACTGGAGTCCAGTTGTCACTAGTTAAGAGTTACAAAACATGCTCAGGCCTACACATCTGGCAAATGTTTTCAAGGTATTTAACTGGCCATATGTGGCTGGTACTAGGGCTGCACGATAAATCGAAATGGAATCGAGATCGCGATTCGACAGAAGCTGCGATTGTCATGCGTATCTTTCAGTAAAGCAAGGTTCTGTGCATCAGCAGTAACTCGCCATCCAAAGGCCAGAGGGCGCTCTCGTGCTGAAACTCCAAATACGCCTCACAAAAGAAACCCAGAAAATGCCTATCGCTGCAGCTGAATAAACAGAAGATTCAACTGCTTTCATTGATTCAACGTGACTAATAAACACATGACTACGGCAATATACGGTTTATCTGAGTTTTTATTATTATAATTTTCATTAAAATCAAGTATATTTATAATGCAATGCCTTTATCATTGCTTAAATACTTGTAGTAAATTCTGCTCCATCTGAAAGCATGTGATGATGATTTCCTGCAGATTACAGAACCGGCATTACTATAAAAATGCTCATGACAATCGCTTTCGATTAATCGTGCAGCCCTTGCTGGTACAATGGAATTCTCACTGGCTCTTACTCATTTAGTACAATATACAACACACAACAGTGGTACATGGTACCAAGTGAGAAAAAGTTATATATATATATATATATATATATAAAGGGTCCCACAAGCCTTTGATGCACACTTTGAATACCACAGCTACAACTGCCAGGACAAACAACTTGTTGCCGTAAGAGCATAAAATTACATTCAAATGCAGAATGAATTACATTCACCTCACACATCAATGAAGAGCATTAACCCCAACAGCCTATTTTAATATTAATGAATGAAATTACAAGTCTTGATCAATCAATAGACCCTAACAGAAAAAGAATGTGATCTACAAAGAAGAGGCAAAGCATGAAACAGGAAGCGCAGAGTTCATTCATTAGAATTCGAGAAGGATCGCAAACAAGGTCTTCATTATAGGGTGCCTGGAAGAAGACAAGTCAACAATCAATTGCTATTTCACAAGTTCAAAGTCATTAAGTTAAGAGGGGGTGTTAAGAGAGACATTTGGGAAAAAAGGCAGTAAGCCCAGAGCCTTTGGGATATGCTCCGCTAATGAAGATAATATCCTTTCCCACCCACACTTTCACCAATTTAAAATCTCACCTAGGTGAACCTATGCTGTCCCAAAGGAAATTAAAAAGATAAGGGCTTAAATAGTATTCCCGGGCTTGCTATCGTATTTAAGTGATGAAGAGGGATGAAACGATCCCCTCACGGTTAAACATGAGCCAAAATCTTCTTGCACTAAACACTGAGATACATCAGTATGGACCTCTTACTAAATGTAACAAAACTAAATGTCACAACAATGAGAAAACTAAGAGAGAGAAACTTTATGTAATGAACTTATGAACTGTTTTTACTTGGTCCTTAAAATTATATATGTTTGCAAGAAACGTATTTTAATTGAATTCAATAAATTAAATCAATAAAAAAAAGGATATTTTAAACAGAAATGTCAGGCTTAATTCTCTCTCTCCCTCTCTCGCTGCGTGTGTGTGAAACAAAGCGACGGCGAGTTGTGCGCCTTCACACTAGAGTTTACGGTACGTTAAATACAGGTGCGTTGCACATCCATTCAGATGAACTGAAAAACAGCACAGATCGCTTGACGGAGAGTGAAACTCTGATGCGCTCAGTCAGAGTGTTCAGAGTGAAAATATATCTGTGCTAAACTTATACTTAGCCTCCAA